CAATTTCCATATTGATTTATCTCGACATGCAGATAGTCATTGATTAAGCCCCTCGAACGTGGTGTACAGCGGCGTAGTATCGCGACGCGGCTTGTACACATTGTTTGTGTCATTATCAGCGCAAATTGTCGCAACTTTATCGTTTCACCGGCACGGTTCGCTTCCGACCGATGTCTCCCTGCAGGTGTTAAGAGTCGGGGGAGAGTGGAGGGAGAGAATAAAAAGAAAGTCCAGAGAAGAAGAGAGAGGAGAGTGCTGAAATGGAAAGAAAGTGAGAGGGGCGGAGGGGGTGGATTTCCCTCTGATGTTGCAGGTAATATGGCCTCCACTGGATCAGCCTCTTCATCAGTGACACACAGTAAATTACAAGTGCTTCAAGCAGCTCAGTGAATTATAGTTCATCACTAGGAAAAGCCTCCCCCCTCGCACTCCCTCACCACCGGGGCCCGGGCGTATCAGATCTGCCAGTTAGGATCCAATTAACACCCTGGCCAGAATCATCAGATTGCATGTGTAAGGGCTGGTATAACTCGTTTATTGCTCCCATGTATCTTCTGTCACAAGGTAAATTTGTTGCTGCTACATCAAAGGTCTGAGCTACTTTTTTTTTCTTCTTCTTCTTCTTCCCTTATCCCTCCCTCCCTCCCTCCCGCTCACTTTCTCTTGATCCCCCCCCCAAACTCAGCTACCTCGCCTTGGGGTTGCATTTCAACTTCTTTTGCATCACAATGATGAACCTGCTCTGTCCTCGAAATTTAGCAATCTTGTCCTGTAGGTGTTGTAAATGCAGCGGGGGGGAAAAAAAAAAAAGAGGGAGAGGTAGAGCACGAGGGAGATGGGGGGATGAGAAAAAAAAACTTGTTTTCTGGTTACAAAAGCAGTAACCAAGGGTGTTTGACTAAAAATGTGCTGACGTTTTTTTTCTTCCTCTTCTTTTTCGTTTTCTCTCTCAGAGTCAACAGAAGTTTTCCTCATGAATAACATAATATCCCCCCCCACTTCTTCGCAGTGATAATTTTTTTTCTCTATTTTCAGATCCAACCAGAGGGGATGCAGCGGAAAGATATATTCATAAATGTAAATGTGAGCTACCTTCCTTTAGCCACGCACGCCGGAGTTGGCTAAGCTATACTCAAGCCTAGCGATGCAGCCCTTTTCCCTGCATCTGTGTTCCGGATGAGAGCCAATAAGCAGATGAGAGCTGCTATCGAGATAATATTGGCTCAGTGGCGAGACGCGTCGACCTGACCTTTAAAAAGTGCGACACTTCCTAAGATGGCCCAGTGCCCACGGCCGATGATGTGACTGGCCTGGGCTTGAGGAAACTGGAGAATTTGCAGAAGTCATGACTAAGTCTCCTCCCAGCCGTAAAACCTTAAATATTTTCATTCATGCTTAAGAGTAGAGTGTTGCGCAGCTGGGATTGAGGTGATTAATCTCGTAAAAAAAAGCTTGATAGTGTGAAAGGGGCAGAAAGGTGGTGGCAACGCTCACTCGAGGTAAGCTCTTGAGTTCTGTACGCGGAGAATCGGACATTAAATGTAGAGAAGGAGGGTCAGGGAGCAGCTTCAGGCTGTCGTGCCCTCACGAGGCAGGGTAAGAGGGTCAATCCAGACGTTTTATATGTGGAACCTGACATATAGAGGTGGTCGCTGTGTCACGTTAGGACGAGGAGATGTCGTGAGGTAGTCGAGTTTGTTTGCCTTGTGTAAATCTTTGCACCTTCTGCAGTTCATTTTCAGGGAAATGCCCAGAAAATTGGGTCTGGACGTTTTCTGCAGTTCACATATGAAGAACGCAGCAGGACATTTTGCAGGTCAGATGCGTTTACAACAACAGGAAACTGACGCATTCAAGCGAGAGGTGATGCATCAGCAGAGCATGCAGGAAGCAGGAAATGACCACCAATCACATCTTTGTTTGCAGCACATTGACGAGTGCATTGGTTTTAATCACCAGAAGCTCTCGAATCTTGTTGTGTGGCAACTCTTTTTCATCCTGAGATATTTGTATTCTTCCAGTCTTGGATCCATAGTGAATCTTTCTTCCGGACGAGTGCAGGCAGGAAAAGTTCGGCAAAATGTCTGGAGCAAATGACTCGGATGTCTTATTTCTTGCAAACAGCCCCTCCGGATAATTTCATATCGCGTCTGAAAGCAGCTTCTGATCTGTTAAGCTGCTGGAGGTCCAGCTCCTCCCTGTTCTTTACCGATAATGTTTGGTGCCACTAACAAAAACAACTTGCACAAAGTCACTTCTGGCCATGCAAGAAGTTTAAGTGCTGGTGTTTGTGTGTAGACGAATTATGCATGTATGTGTGTGTGTGTGTGTGTGCGTGCACAAGCGAGCGAAACAACTGTCAGATTCATAGGCCTCTGTAATCCTCTCCGCCTCTCCTTGTCCGCGTTTCTTTATTTGTATTCCAAATGTCAGTGTATAAATGCCTTTCAGAGGGGGATATTGCCACAGAGAGGAGGAGAGCTGGGGGAGAATGGAGCGGGGACGAGAGGGTGTTGTGTGCCCTGGGAGAGCCGTGTAAGCAGCATGGCGGAGGCAGGGGGACTTACAGGGAGAAATAGGTGTTTATTGAGTGCTCCCGTGGGCTTACTGTGTAATAATAGACCTGTCACATTACGCAAATGTGGAGAAGCTGCTTGTGTGTGTGTTTGTATGTGTGTTTGTGGGACTGTTTCTTTCTTTTACGTGTGTGTGTACGCATGTGGATGCCACAGCCTGCCTGCACATCATCAGCTCATGAGAAGCGGCGATGAGCGAGCGGATAGAATTAGTCAAGCGAGAGCCTTTAGCTGCTAATACGTGTAATTAAAACTGCAAGCTGGGGCACTTAGATGCTTGTGTAGTAAATAATTTACATGCCATGATCTATGGATCATTTCCTGCTCTTAAATACCGAAGACTGGAGAACAAGAGGAGAAGGGGAAAAAAAACTGAGCGGGAGAGGATTTATGAGCATCTCTGCCATAAGCAGGATGTCATGGTAATATTAATCCTTTTCCCTCCACTTTCTACTGCGCTAATCATACAAGGGGATCAATGCGCGCTTCCTCCAGTGGAAAATGGTAGTGTGATTGCCATTGACGCTTATCAAGCCCCAAAGTTAATAAAATATTGCACTACAGCATCCATTGTGGCCTCATAATCCAGGTAAATAATGTGGCTTTATTGGATAAACTCCCCACAGATGAGTATAATAGGGGAAAAAATAGATTATAACAATAAGAATGGCAAAACAAGGGGTTTTAAATCAGGTGAGAGTTTCTCCTGCTTTATACTGATATTTGCACAATGGAATATTGCAGAGCTGAAATGTCAGTAGAAATGAGTGGATTCAGTCCCACTGCAGAAAGGATCCACCAGGCCCTGTTTGTGCTCAGTGGGAGACTCGGTGGCACCTCTGCCTGCGATGGCAACTTTTTTGGAACAGAAAGGTGAGGAAGTTATAATGGATGTTAATAAAGGCTGGATCAACAGATGGATTAGTCAAGAGCGGATTGGCGAGACCCTCCTGGTTTTATACTGATTCAAATCACGAGCCGAGGATGGAGTAAGCAATTGAAAATATTCAATATTTACCATGTGCTGGTGTTATTAGAGGCTGAGGTTTGGACGCGGGCTGTTGGTTATAGTGCGCCCAATGCCGCTCTCATTCAATATTGTTTCTCCTGCCATGTATGTATTGTACTTGGCAACTATGGAGGCATTTGTAGATCAGGATCCCATTTGTTTGAGTGCATACGCTTTGGCATGACATAGCCTCAAACAGAGGGAGCGCAATAAGAATTATTTTCTCTCCCACTACAGCTAAATAATTAATTTCCACTCAAATAAACAAACAACCTTGGATAATCCCGATGCCATTATGTGTGAATATAACGATAATATTAATGCTCTTGATGAGGTTGAATTATTTAAATGCAAAAAAAAAAAAGCACGACTGAGGCTTCGCCAACCTTATCTCCTCCCCTGTACGTAATTAGGTACACAGGGGTGTGACTCCAATTGAAGGCGTCGCCATTGTTAAGACTGTGAAAATATCAACGGGTGAGGTTAACGCCAATTTCCCTGTCATTATTGAAATGTGCAGAGCTTCTAATGAGGTGAACCATTGCTCCTTGATATTACTTATTAGCCGAGTGGAGGGCACAAACTCCCACACTTCAATTTCAAATGGCTAAAAATGAATTGAATAATAAAAGAATACTAATAATAAAAACACAGAGCAGATGTCAAGAGGCCTTACGTAATTTGGTGCAAGGAAAAACCAACTAACTGTCTTGTTGACAGAATGAAAATACTCGCTGGTGCGAAAAAAAGTGTTGACACCGTGAAGAAAAGAGGATTGCAGGCAATGTGTTAATGTGCATGTGCAAGTGTGTAGTCAGCGTGTTTTACTCTTCATATCCGTGTGTGTGTGTGTGTGTGTGTGTGTGTGTGTGTGTGTGCATATGTGTACAAGTGTGACCTTTTCCAAATCACTGACAACAGAAATAGACAGCTGGACGAATCAATAAGGTAAATTAGTGTTGAAGAGTGGAATTGACAGGCAGTTAAAATTAGCCGTCGTCAGGCTGACAAGTCTTTTCAAATATCTATCTAACCACAATGGATCTAGTTAGAAAAGCACATGGATCAAAAAGGTCCTCCATTTTGTCGTCTGACCAAATAACCTTTGGATTTTCTTGAAGTTTGAATTATTGTCAAGTTTGGTGGACAATATACATAGACTATGATACGTAGTCTTTACAATAGGAAGACGTCTCGTGGAGAAAACTTTGCACTCAGAGATCTGTTGTGTTTTTTCTTGTGTCTCTGTGACACTTAGCTTCCTGGGGACTGGCTCGTCTGGCTTTAGGATTCCAATGACAAGTCCGCAGATTGCGTTGGCAAATCAAACACACTTGTGGAGCAGAGGAAATCTTCTTTTTACGGGAGCATGTATTATGGATGGACTTAAGAGATTAGACGGGGAGCTGCTTTACCTGCAGTGGACGCTGCTTGTCCTGGCTCTTTGGAGATTTCAGGCCACTGCCTGGCTGCTGCAAGAGTAATTGCCTTGCTGCTTGTAGGGCCTGGGAAGGAGAGAACACAAAACAGAAAGGACAGTGTGAAAAAAAACGAGGAGAAGAAAAAACTGATTTCTTGAAACTGACAGTAGAGATAAAAAAATTTAAACCTCTGTCGACACAACTTTCGATTAAGAAAATATCTCCAAACAGACGAGAACATAAAAATGACTTCAAATGTTCAAAAAAGGACGCACATTTGTGGTTTGGTTTGTACACAAGGATACACAAAATGTCAACTAGTGCATTCTGAAAAAGGTGCATTCAGGTGAATTCTGAAGCAACACAGATGCTAAACTATGAACTGACTGCCATCCATACTGGGAATTCTACTGTATAGTGACTTAGGCCTCCTCTACACTAGGGCTGGGCAAGTAACAGAAAACTTATCAAAACCGACATTTATAACCTCTAACCGACCTAATTTTGCTCATGTCGGTTTATAAGGATATTTGTATATATTTAACAGACCTTCGTTTGACTAAATATCTCCCTTCCAATGAGAAAAATGACTATAAATGCTCAAACAAGCACACCACCAGCTGCAAACCTGTAATTAGACATAGCCATTTGCATGTGGACGAGAGGCTGAAACATAAAGGAGAGATTTCGCTTTGCAAGATATCCACATCAGTGTGGACAGGGCCTTAAACCACATCAAGAACACATCCAGATGTGGTTTACAACATGTTCTAGCAACAAATCGCAGAGCTGCGATCAAGAATAAATAGTTAGTGTAGAGCACCACTGAAGAAGAGGGTGGAGGAGGTGCTGAGCTACAGAAGAAAAGAAGAAAAAAAGAGAGATCCACAGTGTCAGTAGAATGGACCTGTCTAGTGTGTGCTCAACTGAAATACCCACTTCTCTCAGCAAATTACTGCCACATTTGCATATTCATAATATCAATTTGAAGTAGAGGCAGCGCCATGTGAAGTGTCTCTGGGAGCTGTAATTAAAGTTGACAAAATCAACATCAGATTACATTTAGAGTGAATTAACAAGCAGCCCAGGTTTTTACACTGTGCATTAAGGGTGCTTGTGAGCAGGGGTGATAGATACAGAGAGATGGGTCGGTGGATAGATGGAGGATAGAGGAAGAGAGAGACCTTCCCCTTTCTAAAGAAATTAGTTCACAGCTGTTTACACATAAAGAATTAAAAAATTTGATTTGTAAATTTGTAAAAAATGTGTTGCCAGACGTGGGGATGATCAGAATCGCAGCAGCTAAGGATGCGGTGTCATTTATATCTCTGGGGTTTGATGGGATTACAGATCTCCTCCCATCCAGCTGCGTGTACCGACCGTGTGTGTGTGACTGCTCTAGCTGCAGCTTCACAGGTACGGCGGCAGCTGGGCGAGCAGCTTCACTCCCGTTCTTCAAGAGCGCACGGATAAAAGACGTCTGCTCGAAAAGGAACATTGTGCACAGCTGCTACTACTGCTGCTGCTGCTGCTCCGCACAGTCGTATATCGTGTATTCTTTAGGCCCACGAGCATCAAGTGGGAGAGGAGAGGGGGGAAAAACATGTATGCGCACACACACACACACACACACACAACACAACAACTTCACAGGTGTTTCTTTTTTGAGGAAAAAAGAAGAGGACGAGTAGGAGGGGAAGCAATGAGAGATGGAGAGTGACACTTCCTCAGGAATCAGGGGTGCTCGTTTTTATTTTTCCTGGTGCTTGCCAGTATCCATGACAACAGCTGCCTTGACGGGGCGTGCATATGGCGCGGCTCTTGCCAGCTGGTGGGAACAATGTTTGAACTAGTACATTGAGATCCTGAGCAAACAGGGGGAGAAGAAGGGAGACAGAGGGGAGGTGTCGAAAAAAATGAGAGAGAGAGCACGAGAGGAGGGGAGAGGCAAAAAAAAAAAAAAAAGTTGCCACGTCTTAACCCCTCAGGGAACGTAGCCACCCCCCTGATCAATTATGAAAAGAGAAAGCTGGGGGGGGGTGCATGGAGAGGTGGTGAATCCGTCTGTCTGGCTGCTCGGGAGGAGCCAGACTTTCTGAACTCGAGTAAACAAACATTACACTTGCACTGGGTCCTAACTGCATTGATCTGTCTCCTTGGTAAGAGCCTAGTCGCCAATGCTTTATATGTGTGTGTGTGTGTAGTGTGACATCTGTAATCTGAGTCTTCCTTCAGCACACACACACACACAAAAAGTAGCTTGTAGCACCTGCAGCAGGCGAGCACACACACACAGACAGGAAATCAAACACGGCGCCTGACTTGAACCAAACACAAAAGACAAAACAAATTCCTCGAACGTAGCCAATCACGTCAGTAATTAAAGCGCGGCCTAATTAATCTCGCCATGATTGGTGAATCAAAGTAATTATAAGGCTTATTGAGTCCTGCACACTGTAGTTAGAGGGGAGGCTGCTTGATGAGAGCGAGGCGAGGTAGCCGTCTGGAGGAAATGTTTATTCGTGTGTGAATCAACACTAACTTGCCGCGTTGTACCCAAAGTCAAAAGAGATGCCCGGTGTATTATGCACAGTCAGGAGTGTAAAGAAAAGGGATGTTTGTAGCTGTGCTCACTGCCGGGTAAACATGGCAGGAGGTGCAGGTATGAGAGGTGATGCAAAACTACAACTAGTCTGCAAAGAAGAAGTGCTTCTCCAAACATAACAGACCTCATTAACAGCGGCCAAACTTTTCCAGAGCGGTTTGTCAAGCCTCAAACTGTCTGTCACCTCTTCTGCGAAAGTGGGGTTAGCCATTTTCCTGAGAGAAAACAGACAGAAAGGCCTGTCCCCCTCACTTTTGCCCGCTCTGAGTATTCAGCCATTACAGTAAAAAGCACCAATTTGTGCCGCCCACTTCCCACTCCACGTCGATGGCGAGCCGGAGCCCACCTCAAAGCGCGGAAAAGCGCAGAATGCCAAGAAAAGTCATCAAAAGTTTGCTGGAGAGCTGCTGCCGCTGCAGCGGCGGACAAAAACACAGACCGAGTGCAGAAGCGCCGTCTATTTAACCTGGGTTGCTATGCACGGAAAAATGACATCCCCTGGTCTATTAATGCACACATTGTATAAACAGCCCAATGTGACACATTCTTCAGAATGAGAGAGCTGGCCAGACAGAGAGAGAGAGAGAGAGAGAGAGAGAGAAGAGAAAAAAGAGCCAGGCCCGCTATATAAATAACAAGGCACTCAGAGGCATATTTGATGTTGATATCCATCACTGAGGTTGGAAAGGAGGAAGAAAATAAGACGGGGAAAATAACACACAGAGCGACCGAGACCGCGACACGGGGATCCTTATGAAAATAAGATTCAGCCCAAATGGATCTGGTGTAATTGGTTTCAGATAGTGAGGTCAGGAGAAAGGCGATACGGGCGACTATTATGCGAAACGGACTAAGAAACAAGAATGTTTACACAGGCATTCCTCTGCTACATTAATAGGCATGCAGACATCACCGGAGAGAGGGGGAGAGTGAGGAGAGACTGACAGAGAGGAGGAGAGTGAAAAAAAGAAACATCAGCCATCCATTCATCCCTCTATTCTCTACTCTCCCATGTCCCAGTGTTTGGAGTCTATACAAAACAGGGTAATAAGGAACACATATCACAATGCACCTTTGTAAGGAGCATGCAAAGATCTTGAACAAGCATGAAATACATTAGCGGGGGCCCTGCAATACCAAGCCAAACCATTACAAATCTGCAGATTGGTTATTGTGTGCGCGGCACAGGTGGGGTGAGGAAATAAGCCATCCGCTAAGAATGTCACTCTTTCAAATCCACCTGGAGACTGTGTGATATGCAGCCACGGCATTGGAATTGGATATATCTGAGGGGAGTGTGACATTGTGTTTGGACAGTGCAGATCACTTCGTGGCGTGGGTCACATTGGGAGTTTGTCGTTATTAGGGGGATATAGCAGATGTTGGATGATGATGACACGGGTATGAAACAAGCCACCCAGTAACAGGTACGTGTTTGCGGCGGCCCGGCCTCCGCAGGATGATGAGAAGTAACTGCAAACATGGGCCATCAATTGTTGATCAATGAGAAATGAGTTGGATCGCGATGACGCTGTGTTTCTGTGGCGTGTAAAAAATGTGTTATATGTGTATGCGTGTGTGTGTATGGGTGTGTTTGTGTGTGTGTGTGTCTGTCACAAGGAGTAAAGGGCTGCTGTTCAACACTAGGCTGTCGGCCAGAACGACTCCAGTCACGCTGACAGCTCTGACAACTCCCCCTCCCACACACACACACACACTCTCTCTCTGATGTGTACACTTACAAACACACACACATACACACAGCACTGCACCAGGCTTATCTATCTTTGCTTCCAGAAAACACAAAAACAAAACAAAAGAGGCAAAAAAAGGAAAAGTGTGACACTTTTACAAGCTTGGGGTGGGGGTCCTGAATGCTACGGAAAACAAGGCACAAACAGTTTAAGCTGAACAAACAAACATGGCTGATTGGACCGAGGCTGCGGGGGGGAGATATACGCTGACACTCCACACCAAAATATTTACACCTTATCTTCTTATATAAGTGGATTCGGGGCAGATGGATGGATGGCTACGGATTTGGAGGGGTTGACTGGAGAGGATAGACAAATGAGAAGAGAGAGAGGGTGGGGGGAGGAAGAAGAATAACATGTCCCAAACAATGTGTGAATGCAAAAGTGGGGTTTGTGAGTTTGTGAAAACAAGTAAAGTGCGACCAGGGAATATATTGTAACCGACCCTAAATGGTCTGCATAAAAGAATTGAAGGGATGAGCCCAGATCACAGAAATTGTTTGTGTCTACAACAGACAAATCCTGAGAAAAGTGTCCCACATCATCGCTTGGGTTGTAAAAATGCTGCTTTCAGACGTGCCAGTCCCCTCGTAAAATGTTGGGAAAATATCAGCACAGGCCCATGTGAAATACATTAGCAAAATGATCAGAAAATTCCCTGCGAGTGAGTGGGTGTGTGTTGTTGACGTGTCCAACATGTGACGGACACAAATACAAATATCTGA